TTATGTGTTGCCACCACTGTTAACTTCCATTAACTTTAATTCATGCCACAAAAGTCAATCAATTCCTATGGTTTATCATTTCAACCACCATACTCTATCCCTCAAAACCACCCTTAAATCCAATTCCCATACCACTTCTAGGGTGAAGTTAGTATGAAATTTGATAAATAGGAATAATATTGTAGAGAAGGTGACAAGACAGTTAGTAGAATTGGATTGGGCCATGAAAAATGTGTTTAAATTTCCAACAAACAAAGAGGAAGATTGCAAGTCAAAGTTGCAGTAGATCGAGTTGAGGCCAAAGAGGCATCTATGAGCCACTTTGTCGCATACGTAGGCGGTGGTGTGAGTGAGAGATGCATGAGAGCAAGAAGACAAGAGGAGATTGTTAATCTGCATCGAATTCGGTGCCTCAAAACCAACCAGAATTGGCGGAGGTGCATGGCGGTTTGCTGTACGATGCGGTGGCGCCACCCCATCCCATGCCATCGCCTTTACCTCCTTGTACTCATTTCCTCTGCCCCATATCAGATAATGCATATCTGCCTTAGCTTCCTAACATTTACCTACCTTTATCCTGCATACTATACTCCATTTCCCATTACGCTTGGATTAAAATATAATTAACCAAAAACCCAACCATTTAGAATAGTAGGTAGGCAAATCCCTATTATAATTGTAAGGAATGCGTTATATTAAGAAGTTGTAAGTCGCCAAGGACCTGGTGGCATCTAGTGGCACCAAGTTGCTCTCCATATGGAAGGTTGTGGGTCCGAGCATCAGTGGAAGTCATATTAATTATTTGTACTTTAATAGGTTAACAGATACTGCATTGTAATAATCAAATGATGGAGCTGCTTACTGCCGATGCTTGTAATGTTACTCACTTAAGAGTCAGATAACACTCTCTTGAAGGGCTTCAATTTCACCAAAAAAAAAAAAAAAAGATACTGCATTGTAATAGAACTAGATATTTTTTTAAATAAGAGTCCAACTTTGCAAATATGACCCTTGACAAATCTGGATTAGACTTTCAAGACCCACAAATTATATCATGCACTTGGAGTTGCATATTCATTTTTAGTGTATTGCAAATTAAAGTGAACTTGCATTACACTAAAAATGAAGTTGTATTAGTGATTCATCTTATGGGTCTACAACATAAGACTATAAGTATGACTGAAGACCCCTAATAATGAATTTTGATTACTCTTTGATTTACCTGAAAACCCACAATCACTATCATATGTGCGCTTTGAATGAAACTCGTCTTGTGACTATGGCTGACAAAGGATCACAAGTAAATCAGCTTAGGTTGTTTATAACTTATCGGCTCAAATTAAGAAGTAAGAGTTAAATTTAAAATTTTATGGTTATCAAGTTATGTGACATTTTAACTGGGGTGTTTAATTTGGTTAGACTCTCATTGGTGAGATACCAATTAAATAATGTTTAATAAGAAAAAGCAAATGATCTTCCTTAATTACTCTTTAATTCCCTAGATTAACGTAGTAGTTTTAAGCATAAAATTAAATTGATCTATGGAGTAGTTAGCAAACGCAAAGCATTAGTACATTGCACAAAATCTGAGGAAAGATATTAGGGTGGCTGAGATTGTAGAACTACTAAACGTCAATATATAGGGGTTTACAACAATTAATCACCATGATCAATTAACGATCTTAATTCCCGAGGACGAAAAAAACATACGGAGTACAAAGGTTTTAGAAAACCTCAAATAGCCGCCTTATATTAATGGCTCTGTCGTTGAAATTAATCACCAATCCACCTAATTCATTAATACTTAATTGTAGGAATCTGTAAATGAGTTTATTCCAGAAGTTTATGCTTACACATACTTACTCCAACAAATATGGCCTTGCGGTTGCCTTTTCGTTCCTAAATTACTAACCTAATTAGTTTTATAATATATGCTTCCAGATATTAAGGACTAATTATAATTGTATTATTAATCTGATCCGTTGTTGTTTTACCTTTCTCTATTTGTTAGTCTTAGACTAAGTCTGCAGTCTGTTATAACTTTCTTTAGATTAATATATTTTGCAAAAATTCTCCTTTTTAAATAATATATTTTGATTCAAATATGGGATAAAAAAGTAACACTACACTCTTTTTTACTCGTGTTACAAAAATAAGTCAAGCTTCTTTGATTTGTGTGAAAATTCACAACTACTACTCAAAAGCGTGATATGGCCCATGACCGGCTATCTGGACGAAGTCCGCCTTGTAACCTTAGGCAGCAAAAGATCTTAAGAAAGCAAACTATGTTATATATATTCATAGTTGAATGACTCAAACCAATAAAGAACATTAATCACTCTAACTGAAAGTGAATTTAGAATCTTGTGATTACTAAATCAATAATATAATCCAACTAACTACAATAATATAATCCAACTAACTATGGTGAATCATGCATGTGAAGATCTGTTTGTTAATCAAAATGAGAGAGAGAGAGAGTTATTACTTTGCTGGAACTTCAATTCCCAAAGCCTAGGCTCTATAGTCTACACCTTACAACCCAACCGCCTGTCTTTTTCTTCCATTTCCGCAAATCCTCTCATCTCTCTCCCTCCCATATATCCATAATAATAATCCATTATCCCTTTAATTTACCAGTTACGTTTGCCATGGCGTGTAGTTTTCACTATTCTCATTATATCATCTCTCTCTATCTATCGTATCTACTATCTCTTTCATTCCCGAGAACCACTAGAGTGGAGTGCAGGGTTAGTTTTGTCCTTTCCTGCATGCCGCACCACCTCCCACTCCCCTAGCCGCTAACCGCCATGTTTTCAGAGATGTTCAACACAAACTACAATACGCATGTCAATATCTATCTGCTCACTCTATACGCATCCTTTATTATTCTCCCTATAAAACCCATTATCCTATCTCTCTATCTTTCCACCATCTCTGATCTTGAGTTTGTTTCAATGGAGGATGTTAATACGGCGAGTAATGGGTCGAGATGGAACCCCACGAAAGAGCAAATCAACTTGCTTGAGAGCTTGTATAATCAAGGGATAAGAACCCCCACGGCGGAGCAGATTCAGCAGATCACCGGAATGCTTAGGGCTTTTGGTCATATTGAAGGCAAGAATGTGTTTTACTGGTTTCAAAACCATAAAGCTAGACAACGCCAGAAACAGAAGCAAGAGAATTTGGCTTTCTTCAATCACTTTCATTACCCTTATCCCCATCCTCATCATCTTTATCTTCAACATTGTCCCAATGGTACACTCTTCTTCTTTTTCTTTTTAAAGTAACGAAAAACTTGCAGTCACTACCCGACAGGCCATTAGGTTACCAAGTTAACAGCCTGATTAAATTGGTTCGGGTGTCTATTTTGTCAACAGTTGACCAGCTTGGCTAATGTTGTCTAGACTCTTTTTGCAGTTATTTACCGGCCGTACTACGTACCACCGCAGGGGGATCTAGGGTTCTATGCAAAAAGTCCTGGTTTATTCCTTTCTGCAGGGTCCACTACGGGCTATAAAAGGAACGCACCAAAAATGGACATAATGCATAAACCCTCACCGCCAACTTCTACGGGCTATAATGAAGAAGAAACTAACACTGCAAAGGCAAAATGCAGTCCAGAAACATTGGATTTGTTCCCGCTTCTCCCTACCGGGATCTTACAAGCGTCGTCAAAGAGTGTTAATGGGGTTTCCGGTGATGCTCCGTCGTCGGGTGCGGTGGAGATTAATTGCTGCGGTGATGAACATAGAGGAGGAGGCGGCGGAGGGTCCGCCGGAGATCACCCTTTCTTTGATTTCTTCTGCGGAAACGGTGGTTATGGAGCTCACTGAATGTGACGCTGCTGTTATATGCTGACAATGTTTGACTGATAACTCTGATGCCTATTTCCTTATCCAGTGAAGTACTAGAAAGATGTGACTGTTTTTCTTCTCTTTTTGGTTGTTTTTGACATAGACTTGAGAATCAAGATTATGTTTCCTTAGTTTTACAAGAAAATGTGATTTGAAGAAAGTTTAATCCTTTGTAATTTTAATGTTTTGTTTTGTTATATGGTTAACTAATCAAATTATCTTGTTTTTATTACAAACTTGTTTAGCAAATGGTTTTGAATTTATAAATATGCAAATATGAAATGTGTGTAACAAATGTTGTTGAAACAAAAACGCATTGTTGAAGAAGATGGCCATGTTCTATGGCAAATTATAGTGTGGGCCCAAGTCTATCTTTCGGTCCAAAATTGCATTGTTTTGCTTCAAAACGAAGCGGTTTGATTTTTTTTTTCTTTAAATTGCTTCTTTCCTTGCCGTTGTCGTTGCCGTTAGTATTCATAATTCGTTTATCTATGTTTACAATTTTATATCTCAATATACAAAATTGCATAATTCAATATTCACAATTGTCGAAGTCTATATTTACAATTTTAGAACTCGATATTCACAATTGCAGAACTCTATATTCACAATTTATTTTTGAACTCTATATTCACAATTTTAGTATTTAATATTTACAATTGCAGAACTCTATATTCACAATTATATTAACAGTTAACACTATTTTTGAATCTATATTCACAAAATAAAAATAAAAAATCACTGACTGAGGAAACAGTGTCACTAACGGCACCGTTATTCCAGACACGCAAAGCAACGTTGTTTTGGACTGCAAGGTGGACCCAGATCCATGGCATTACAATTGATGTTCTGTGGAATGGGCTGGTTGAAAGCCCATTTAATTTAAAGGCCCAGCCCGTGAAAAGGTGACCATGTCCCAATGAAATTCGACCCAAATTCTCAGTCAGCACCCAGCAGGCCAGCAGTATCTCTACACGTTAACAGTCGTCAACGTTTGATAACGTTGTTCAGCCCGTTATCGTGCGGGCAAGCAGAACGTGTAAATTAGGGGTCAACGTTAGTTAAAATGCGGATGATAACGGCATTGGTAACGTCGCCGTTTACCCCGTGTATCGAACAGGGTAGGGGTCTCTGTGTCCGGCGTCTATTTCCCCACAATCTCAAGGCCTGTGTCCCTTTTTTTTTTCTTCTCCTTCTCTTTCTGAAGCTGTGGATATCTGCAGATGATTCTTGCGAAGATCTTTACAGTTTATATGGATTCAAAGCAAATCTCTTTGATGGTAATCTCAATCTCCCTAGATCTTTTTACCCTTTTGTTGTTTACTTTTATGTTTCTGAATTTTCTTGGTTTATGCCACTGTGAATACCCCTTGAACTTGATAGTTTTCTCTGTCAAGATTTCAGATTTTCTGGGTAAAGCCTGTTATGCTGATGATTTTATAATTTCCCATGTTAATTTTATTGTTTGTAGGTAAAAATTGAGTCTTTTTTGCTGTGATGACTGGTGAGCATCGTTTAGGGTATCTATTTGGGGGCTTTTTGTATATGGGGTTGTTGTGAAGTGATTTTACTGATTTTTGGGGCCTTTGGAGGCTGCATATAGGAATTAAACTTGAATTGTTATAAAATTAGAGGGCATAAGGCTTGAAGGATGGGAGAAGACTTGCTTACAGGGCTGTCAATTGAGAATTACCACCCTTCAACAATCTTGTCCATGGATTCAATTGCCACCTCTCATGAAGAATCGGAGAGAGATATGACTCGGCATATTGTTCTGTCTTGCCCACCAGATATTAATCTCCCTTTGTCTGTGGAACCTAGTCCCCCACCTCCATCTTGGAACCATGAAGCTTTTGATATGCTGGAGGTTGGGTTGGGACCTCAAATTATTGACTCGGATAAACTTCTTGATATACCGAAGGTTGGGAGGAAATGCGCGAAAAGACTGGATTGTGTATGGGGTGCTTGGTTTTTCTTTAGTTTCTACTTCAAACCTGTTTTGAAGGAGAAATCTAAGTCGAACATTGTTAGGGACAGTAATGGGGTTTCTGGCTTTGATAAGTCGGATCTCCAGCTTGATGCCTTTTTGGTTCAGCATGATATGGAGAACATGTATATGTGGGTTTTTAAGGAAAGGCCTGAAAATGCTTTGGGGAAGATGCAGTTGAGGAATTATATGAACGGGCATTCCCGGCAGGGGGAGCGGCCATTCCCGTTTAGTACGGATAAGGGGTTTGTGCGTTCTCACAAAATGCAGCGTAAGCATTATAAGGGAATTTCTAATCCTCAATGTCTTCACGGGATTGAACTGGTTCCGTCGCCAAATCTGTCGTGTATTGACGAGGAAGAGCGGAAGAAGTGGATGGAGCTTACGGGTAGAGATCTCAACTTTTGCGTCCCATCTGAAGCAAGAGATTTCTGTTCGTGGAGAAACCTTCCAAATACAGATTTCGAGCTCGAGAGACCAATCCCCGCGCCAAAGAACAATGCGCATCCTCCCTCGAAAAAGTTACTTAGCGGGTCTGGGATGAACTTGTCGACACAGTCATCAAACCATGTTAACAGCAACGGGTTGGATCTTTCTTCAGGTTGCGGGAAGAAAAGGAAAGACCTTTTCTCACATGGAAGTGACGAGGAGTGCTACTTGCCTGCTATTCCCGGTTCCGAAAGGCCTCAAGATGCAGGAGACGTTCATTCCATCGAGCGGCCTTGGATGAGCGAGTTTTCTGGGGTAATGAGAAACGTTTACGGTCCCGTCACGGCTGCAAAAACGATATACGAGGACGAAAATGGATACTTGATTATCATCACTTTACCATTCGCAGATCCCGGGAGGGTTAAAGTTCATTGGTGGAACAATCTCACTCATGGCGTCGTGAAGATTTCGTCCGTGAGCACAGCATGCATGCCGTTTATCCAGAGAAACGACAGAATGTTTAAGCTAACCGATCCATCTCCAGAGCACTGCCCTCCCGGGGAGTTCAAACGGGAAATTCCACTCCCCACCCGAATCCCCGACGATGCCAAACTAGAAGCATACTTTGACAAGAGCGGAACGGTGCTTGAAATAAAAGTGCCAAAACACCGAGTTGGCCCAGAAGAGCACGAAGTTCCTGTTTGCCTTCGCCCTCCAAACGAGTTTGTCTTGACTTAACCATTTTAAAAGATTGGAGAAACACAAGAACTATTTAAAAGATTGGAGAAACACAAGGAATTGGTAAAGGCAACTTCTATTCAATTCGACGACAAGGTAAAAGAAGGGAATCGGGGATGTATGCAGGTCAAGGTTCTTAGCCGTATTGACTAGATAGGTTATTTAATTTGGATCATACTGATTATATCGGGTTTTTGTCCTTTTGGCATTGTGATAGCTTTTTAGTCAATAGCTCCCAATCTTAGGATTTAGTCGATGTGTTAGAGCCAATTGTAAGAACCCTGCAGTTTCTCTCTGGCTATAGATCAGCTATTCAGCATACATAATGCCTGCCTTGTTATCTATCTCTTCATTACCTGCTTAACCTTTTGATCTCTTTCTTCCATTCATGAGATGATAGGTAAATATTGTTATACTTTACAAAACTTGGGGCTTTTGCATCTTCATTACAGGCATTGAATGTTTCAATTTGGTATCAGAGCCATGCCAAAAGTCATGTGTTCGAATAAAAAAAGAGACTATGGTCCACGTGTTGTTTGGAGCCCATAAGTAATCGGTCTAGCCTATTGTGGAGTTTTGGCATTGCTCCATTTAAAAGGAAAAACGACATTGACATGAAGAGCTTCAACTTGCATTGCATACTATGTATAGTTTGTGTTGTGTGGAGCTAAGAACCGTACTGTGATGGCACTGTTAAGGTAAAAGATAGAATCTTTCTTGGTTAAGAATACATGCCATTTGGAATGCGCCAAAACTGAGACACCCTAATTTGTCTATACCACATTTCAGTCTGTGACTTTATCCCGTCTTAACCAGAAGTCTCGGGTTCGAATTCGCAGAATGCAATTACCTTAAAACCTTATTGAGGCTAAACCCATCCTTAATCTTCCCAAAGATCAGCGGAAGTTTCATTTGACAGATGTAGGATACACTTGTGTCGTAAGATGCTTTAACTGGGAATGCATATCTTCTTATTTTTCGTTAAAAGTCCCATACAAAAACGATAAAGTTGAAATCATTTGATCCGAAGCTCCATTAGGTCCACTTTTTGCACCCACAGCATATGCGGAAAGCACCTGTGTAATATTCCTTTCTCATATGTGGATTCATGAGTTGAAGATATAATAATCTGATAAAATTGAAAAATCTGAGATATAAAAAAGAGTTAATTATCAAAATGGTCCCTTGACTATAGCAAAATTATTAATTTGATCATTGATTATTTTTTTAACTAATTAAGTTCCTCAATTTTAAAAATTTTAACCAATTTGATCCTCCGTTAGTCAACCGTTAACTTGGGACCAAATTGGTAATTTCTCTATAGTCAAGGGACCATTTTGGTATTAACTTTAGGGGTGGACAATTCGGTTTAGTTTTCTCGAATTGAACGGTACTGAACCGAACTGAACTAGTTTGGTTCGGTAATATACTGAACAACCGAACGGTATTGGATTCTTGTATACTGAACGGTTCGATAAAAAATCGATCCGAATTATTCGTTAAAGATTGAACTGAACCGAATACCGTTTGATTTTTGTTTTTAAATAATAATAATAAATAAATAAAAAGTAAATTCAAGTCCCATGATGCATGCTCTGCTGTTTAGCTCATATTCTCACGGGTATCCCTCGTAAATGTTTTATTTGATTTTTTTATGGTTTGTTATCAAAAGCTCTATATTATGTGTTATGATGTTTACATAGTCCATATCCAAAGTCTAATATATAACAAAATAGCGATCCAAAGTTCAAACGGTATTCTGCTCGGTTCGGTTTTTATCGAACAATTCAGTTCGGTTCAAGTTTTTACCGAACCGTTCAGTATACAAGAATCTATTACTGTTCGGTATATTACCGAACCTAACTAGTTTGGTACGGTTCGGTTCGAGAAAACTGAACTGAATTGCACCCTTAAAGTTAATTACCAAAATGGTCCTTTGACTATAGCAAATTATCAATTTGGTCCCAAGTTAACGGTTGACTAACGGTCAAACAAACGGAGGACCAAATTGGTTAAAAATTTTTAAGTTAAGGCACTTAATTGGTCAAAAAAAATAATTAAGAACCAAATTGATAATTTCGCGATAGTCAAGGGACCATTTCAGTAATTAAGTCTATAAAAATAAATAAAATATATAATATTTAATAATGATAAAGTAAAAGTAGGTAGAAATTGAAATGGACCTGCTATCTTTTTCTCAGGGTTTAGAGAATCCTCGCTGCTTGTTAGAAAAAAAAAAAAAAAAAAAAAGAATCCTCTCTGCTTTGAACAAACAAAAAGTAAAACAGACATTTGGCAGTATAATCGAGTACGTGCCTTAAATCAATGACATCCAAGGACCACTTGTCTGTTTTCATTTGTTTTCATGATGAAGCTCCCTGTTCTACACTTTTTTTGTTTTTGTTTTCTTTTTCATTTTAAGGATATTTTAATTCCTTCCAATAAACTTTAACATTTGCATGCAACTTTAGTCTTAATAATTGGATTAATTGATTACGTAAAGTGATATTAGTTAGGGATGCAGGGTAAATGTACTGTTGGTGTAATGAAACCGGTGAAACACAAAAGACATTTACATTAAATTATTATTGTTGTATGAACGTGAAGTTTAGGCCGTCCAATGGATTTAGTAGGCAACTGGGCATTATTTGATTTATTTCAACAAAAAAATATACAGACTATATAATAATATATTTGGCCACATGAGCAGCTCAATCGGTCACAAGGGTAAAATTTAGAAACAATGATTCAGAATCAAGTTTTATCAACGGCAGTGTGGGAGCAACATCTCAAAGCTCTATGTTCAACTAAGTTATCATAACTTATATCCTTCCAAATATTCTGTCTGGTCGAGACGTGAGAAGTCTTGAGTTTCAACATTTTGGGAACAACAATATAGTAGAATGAAAAGCAATTTGTTTTTGAAAATGGCAAAGGGCACTTTCGTCATTACGCATTGGTCTTTTAACATACGACTCCAGGTCCTATATAGACGCTATACTGGGTACTGGATGGCATTAACGTTGTGAATTGCAATTATAGACTTCACCAATCCTTAACGCCGGCCATGGCCGCTCCGATCAGCCTCTTCTCGCTCTCTCTTCTTCTTACCCTCTGTGTCCTCTGCAAAGCCACGGCCCCTGGCCTCATTCTCACACTGGTTAACAACTGCCCTTACACCGTCTGGCCGGCCATCCAACCAAACGCCGGGCACCCCGTTCTTGAGCGCGGCGGCTTTGCTCTCAACACCCTCACTCACCGCTCCTTCGCCGCACCTAACGCCCACTGGTCCGGCCGCATCTGGGCCCGCACGGGCTGCACGTACGCCCACGGCCACTTCAGCTGCGCCAGCGGCGACTGCGGCGGCCGCTTGGAGTGCGACGGCGCGGGCGGCGCCACTCCCGCCACCTTAGCCCAGTTCGTGCTCCACCACGGCCACGCCGACTTCTCCTCCTACGGCGTCAGCCTCGTGGACGGGTTCAACCTCCCCATGACGGTGACCCCGCACGAAGGCAAAGGCAAGTGCCCCGTCGTCGGCTGCCGGGCCAATCTTCTGGACACGTGCCCCGCCGGCCTCCAGTTCCGCTCCCACGGCGGCCACGGCCCCGTTGTTGGGTGCAAGAGCGGCTGCGAGGCTTTCAAGACCGACGAGCTTTGCTGCAGAAACCACTACAATAACCCGCAGACGTGCAAGGGGTCCACCTACTCGGAGTTCTTCAAGCACGCTTGTCCGGCCACTTTCACTTACGCCCACGACAGCCCGTCGCTCATGCACGAGTGCTCGGCGCCGCGTGAGCTCAAAGTCATTTTCTGTCACTGATCGAGCTAAAAGACAAAATAGTAATCGGAAAACTAGCTAGAAGGTGTCTTCAATGGTCTGTAACCCAGCGCAAATGGTTTCGTATCTTTTTCGTAATTCCTAGATAGACTGTGTTTTCTTTTCCAAGTAGACGATGTCGTAGTCTTTAAGATTATCTGTGATGGGTTCGCATTGTGAGGCTTCAATAACGTTGAAGTTATGTCTGCTTTGGTGACTGGTAAAAATGGAACAAGCTTAAGTTTAATTACCCTGTTTAATCATATCTTATCTTGTGTTTTATTCATTATTTCTTGTTATCTGTATGCTATGTATTGGTTGGTGGATGACAGCATATTTTTCTCGGTTTTTGGTGCTATGCCACGGCCCACTTAATCTGCGGAAGTTGTCGTTTAGAAGTACGAGATTACTATTCCACTTTTTAAATTTATGTAAAACTAAATAAGCACAGCCACCAATACCTTGTGCAGATGGCATGTAGTAACATCTTTTATGTGAGAAGTCATGAAATTAAATTTCAGTGAAAGTGTTATTGACACTTTATATTTCATTAAATCTAGTACTTTGTGCTCATATTACATGTAGTAACTAACAAAATTATCACATTGGGATATTAATAATGGACTCATTGATATTATAAAGAATCATGAGTTTTAAAAATAAACAAAATGATTTGAAACAAACATTAATAAAAAAAAAATGTTTTACTTATCCTAAGTACCAACTACCAAGGAGATGAAGGACTAAATGGATTTTACTTCGCTCATAAAAAGGTAAAAAAAAATTACTTTGCCTCCATACTTACACCCTAACTTAACAAAATAGTAGAAGATTAACTTATAATGACTTAAAAACTCATTTAAAATGACAAATCCTTAATATTCATAGTGAGCCTATTATATTAAATTATATTCAGGGTGTATTTAATTTGCACAAGAAAATTAAAATCAAAATAATAATCAAATAATTGATAATAGTAATGAATTTTGATAAAAATATTTTTTTTTTTCATATTTGATAATAAAGTGGAATAAAATAAGTTTTAAAATAATTACTTATATATGACTCTAAAATGAGAATAAATGTTTTTAAAATACAAAATTTAAAAATAAAACAATTGATTCTAATATAACACCATCCAAAACACTAATATGAAAAAAAAATCAAAATAAAATTCTAAAAACAATATGTAATGAAAACTTAAAAATCAGATTATCAATAAGATAGAGTGATACTTTTTTTCACTGGTCGAGCTTTTTACAAAAAAAAAAAAAAAAAAAAAAAAAAAAAAACAAACTATGCAGATTTACACGTTTTTAAATAAATGGATAATCAAATCTTATAGTTATATTTTATAAAAAGTTATCAACCAAATACGTATTAACTATGACGTTATGTATACACCCATGAACCAAACACACCCTCTCGATTGTCCAAACTCGATCCTATTTTGATGTACAATCTACTTTAATCATAGATTCATAGGGATGGTGGTGCGCATGGAGAGCGTGGTGTTTGACCGTTGGACGGAGGAGCAAGTTGGCAAGCCGAGAGGTATTAGGTATAGTAGAGTTGTTGGCTTGGGTACGCAGTTTGATGAGCTTGTTAGGTCTGAACACTTATCCAGACATAGACAAGGAATCTCTGAAACCCGGCAGGCCGGGACCATTTTACTGTTAGTCTGTTACTGTATACGCCTCCTAGTTTCAGTAACCACGTACCAATGCCTGTTTCCCTTGCTACTCACCATAAATTAATATAATATATATAAATAAAGCTCTACTCCATATATCATCTCAACTTAAACGGCTTTTCGTTTAAGCCACACAAATGCATTATATTGCATGTAGCATGCATAGTCGAACTCTCATTTCCTACTACTCTTTAACTTTTACTTTAATATAGACAATTATATTAAGATTTACCTGAAAAAACTAACTTATCACACTTCGTCACATGAAAGAGTAAAATAAAATTTAAAGAATAAGATTTAAAAGTAGACAACCTCTCTCCACCCTCTCGACTGTCGAAACCTCGTTCTTTTAATTTGTTCCTTACCATGCATGCCCCTCGTGCACGTCTAGAGACTTCCAATACTTAAAAGGATCTTATTATATTCCGTATTCAAGTTAATGATTATAATATATATATATACCATATATCCACGTGCAAATGAGTCGTTCTAAATGTATAAAAATTTACATATACTTGTGAGAGTGAGACGAGATGAGATGGAAAATAAGTAACATACTTTAATTTATTAAGCATTAGTTATTGTGCTTGAATTGGCGGCTAGCTTGCCCATACGTACATCATCGGAACATATATATTTATTATTTATCAATTTATGTATGTGTTTGGTTGTTTAACTACGTTTTGGTTCATTTACATGGCTCCCCATCCTGACGACGTTGCCATCGATATCTCGCACGTATCCCACTCTTTGTCCCCATGTTTTATCCTCCGGTGGGTTTACCGGCACCGCTCCATTCTCCACCGCTCTCTGATCATCATTTCATTTCACCAAACCCAAACTCAATCAATCAATATATGGAGAAAAGAAAACCAAAAACTTACGCCGCCGGCCTTAATTACCTTGAAAGCTGCATCAAGGTCTGCATAATCGAAGCAAAGCTCAATCGGGTGTCGTCTTTCGCCCCGGGATTGCGGGGTTTCGACCTCGCCGGTTAGCCCATCCGTCTCGCGTTGGTGAATCGGCGTGAACGCTATCGTCGTCGACCCACTCTCTAGCTCCGCCCATCTGCGCCGCCGACACACGAATTAACATTATGCATGCATGGTATATTCAAGAATTAATAATACGAAGAGAGGTGATGGGAGGCGGCGCGTGCATACGTACTTGCGGTTGTGTTCAAAGCGGCGGACGTTGTAGCCGAAGGCCTTGGCGTAAAAATCCGCGGATTTGGCGACGTCGTTACAGTAAACCACCGTATATGCAAACGCCGGAGCGCCCAGGCTTGATGCCATACTTCTAACTTCTAGCTCCTAAAGATCTTGTTAGCGCTCCGTCTTTTATATCTGCATGTTGAGGGGGATGCGGTTGCGGATGACACGTGGAGGGGCTCCAGAGTACACGTGTACACCATGCAACACTAGAGCAGGTTTATTGCTGCCACGTCTGTCATCTGACGTAGGTTGTAAATGTCCACTGTATATGTGTGCGTGTTTTTTTTTTTTTTTTTTTTAAAAAGGTTCTTGACCAGAGTTAGTTTGGATTAGTTGTGACAATTTAATTACTCAATTAATCTGTTTTCAATTGTCTATATATTTTAATTTGGTGGTAGAAGAGACCATCTACCCTTATATTGGGTGGGTAAAAGGTTAAGGGTTTAAATATAATCCAATTTCTACTTTTGTATCATTATAATGATATTATATTATATATGACTCCTCACACAATTTGATATAACAATATTATTGCCACATAGGTAGATTTAATAAAAAAAAAAAAGAGACCGATGTTAAGTACAAAGATTAAATTGATGAACAAAATGTAGGTCATGTATTTTAAATGTAGGTCATGTATTTTAACCAAAAACTTCTCAATAATCTATATCTATACTATCTATATGACTATACTATTTGTACTATTATACTATATATATAAAAACTAAAATTCTTTACTTTAACTTCCCGCCTAATTCCTAAAAAATTTTCAGAATTAAATACGCTTGGATTATTTTATTCTTTTATTATTAATGATTGACATTACCTTAAACTCTGTCTTGTGATCTTACAGGTAGAAAAAATAATAAAAGAATTACTAATTTGATAACTTGGAAGTAGAATTTACGTACGAAAGTATTGCATGGATAATGGGATAAAATTTTCCCCTTTTTGATATATTATCTTACTTAGATCAAATAGTTAGTGTCCTGACTTAATTCTAACAAGAAATCGTTTATCTAGGCAAATTATCAGCAGATAGAAGGATAATTTTAAAAGGACTGAAATACCTTTATTTATGAATTAATTCAGATATATCACACTATAAATACCCCTCTCTACATCGCTGTGCTCTTCATACCGTCACTACTTCAATCTTCTTCTCCATCAAACCTCTGTGAGAAATTAAGCAATCAATTTGGTGAGAATGGGAAAGGGCGCTAATGGAGTACCCACAGAAAACAACATGGCTGCTTGGCTTCTCGGCGTTGGCAACCTCAAGATTCAGCCCTTCAACCTCCCTCCTCTTGGTATATATATATCATCACCTTCGATTTTCGATTTTGAATATATATAAAATGTTAATCTTACTGTATTTAATTTGCGTGTTGTTGTGTGATAGGTCCTCATGATGTTAGAGTGAATATGAAAGCAATTGGTATCTGTGGGAGTGATGTTCACTACCTCGAGGTGATCATCGTTTTGTTTATGGTTTTTAGGGTTTTATTTTGATTTTCAGTTAATTGATATAGAATTTGATTATTATATATTCAGCATGGGAGGTGTGGAGATTACATTGTGAAAGAGCCAATGGTGATCGGCCACGAATGCGCAGGAATCATTGAAGAAGTCGGGAGCGAGGTGAAGAGTCTGGTCGCCGGTGATCGCGTGGCGTTGGAGCCCGGCGTTAGCTGTTGGCGGTGCAGCCATTGCAAGGAAGGCAGTTACAATCTGTGCGACGAGATGAAGTTCTTCGCCACGCCGCCGATCCACGGCTCTCTCGCTAACCAGATCGTGCATCCGGCGGATCTGTGCTTCAAGCTCCCGGAGAATGTGAGCTTGGAGGAAGGCGCGATGTGCGAGCCGTTGAGCGTGGGCGTGTACGCTTGTCGCCGGGCGAACATCGGGCCGGAGACCAACGTGCTGGTGCTCGGAGCCGGCCCTATTGGCCTCGTCTCCATGCTCTCCGCTCGCGCCTTCGGTGCTCCGAGAGTTGCTGTTGTGGATGTCGACGATCAGCGTTTGGCGTTCGCTAAGAAATTGGGAGCGGATGCGATTATCAAGGTTTCACACAAGATGGAAGATGTGGAATCTGAGGTGGAGAACATCAAGGCCGCCATGGGAGTCGGAATCGACGTCAGCTTGGACTGCGCAGGTTTTAATAAGACAATGTCCACTGCCCTTTGCGCAACCCGCTCCGGCGGCAAGGTTTGTCTCGTTGGCATGGGCCACTGCGAAATGACAGTCCCCCTCACTCCTGCAGCAGCAAGGTAATTTTTAATTAATTATCTGAATTTATAATTGTATTATTAGTAGAATCTCGATCGAGATATCTGTATTGTGTTTTGTTAAAAGGTTAAAGATGATGGTTGTGTTGTTGTGTAGGGAGGTGGATTTAGTGGGGATATTCAGGTACAAGAATACATGGCCACAGTGCATAGAATTTTTGAGGAGTGGGAAGATTGATGTGAAGCCACTGATCACACACAGGTTTGGGTTCACACAGAAGGAGGTTGAAGAGGCATTTGAAACCAGTGCTCGTGGTGGCAATGCTATCAAAGTCATGTTCAATCTTTAGAGTTTAGATTGATTATATCAATATGCTTAGTTATACTTTTGTCAAATTTTTGCTATACATAGGAGAACAATCACACTTGTCTTTGTACTTGTTCCAATTTTTTATCATTTTCATGTCCATTCCTTTGTAGCTAGGCTTTAGTGTTTATTTTATTAGATTTATTAGAGAAGTATGAATTTCATTCAACTACCCAATTTGTTAAGTTTATTTTGCCTTCATTATTGGTCTCAGCTTTGAACATTTTAGAGGATTGCTCCCACTTCTGTCTGGTTTGTGTTTATTTTCTCAATGCTTAAGTTGTTGCTATTTTCTGCTTTCGTTTGTTTCTCTTTAATTGGTTTATTTTTCTCTAGTTTAATTTTGTTTTGGTTTTTCGTTCGTTTCTCTTTAATTACTTTATTTTTCTCTGGTTTAATTTGTTTTGGTTTTCTTATTGCGTAAATTGTCGTTGCTATTTTCTGCTTTCATTTATCTTTAGAATCATGAATTTATCTTCTTGAAGGGGGCAGTTAATGCCTTCTCCGGAATAATCTAGGCTAGGACACTTTTTCGCGTGAGATACGAAAATGGTGTGATTTTGAAAACAAGGAAATGAGATACGAAAATGGTGTGATTTTGAAAACAAGGAAATGAGACATTCAGCAGACCGCAGACCGTTTCTTCAAACTTCAAAAACGTTAGTAGCAGGCTCGTATATAATAATATAATAGCTGTTGATATACTATGTTATCTTTAAGTAATTTAAGGTTCTGTCCAAATTAGGAAGTAAAGAGCACATTACATTTTGAACACTAATTGTAAAACCAAAAATGTGATTTTCCCTTAATTATTTATACTCCGTATTATATTGGTGTATGGTGGACATAAATACAGAGAACACAATAAATAGTTTTGTATTTTTGTAGTTTTCTAGTTTTGTACCGTATCCCTCACCGACCGGACCGAACAAAGTTGATTCTCTCGTTTTCATCTTCGCCCAGAAATCTTGGTTCAGAAAGCCAAAGCCATCTGCAAAAGAGCTCGGCTTTTGCGATCCTACAGTTTCTCTTTTTTCTCCATTAAAATTCGTCGACATTTAGCCCATAACTGTATCTCTTCATCAAATAACTATTCTGAATTCGTGATCCAGGTATCTCCGCAATTGTTATACCATGCACCAAGATGCATATAACAATGTGCGCATCCCAAAATGACATTGTTTTATATTCTGTTATAAAATTAGTACATTCAAAACAAAGAATTTTTATTATTTTTTAATAAATGATGTATTTTCAAGTATAAAAATATGTATTTTTCGATATGAAATTCTATGTTTTTTATTATATTTTATTATGTACATTCGAAACATGAGAATTTTCAATTATGAAATTCTGTGTTTTCAGGTACAATTATAAAATTATGTGTTTTTAAGTATAAAATTATGTGTTTTATATTATATAATTATGTATATTTGAAACATGAAAATTTTTAGTTATAAAAATTGTGTTTTCAAGTATAAAATTCTGTGATTTCAAATATAAAATTTTGTGTTTTCTATTATAGAATAGATTCGAAACGTGAATATTTTTTAAGGGGTTAAAAGCAAACACGCGAAAAAAGACACGTCTTTTTGGATCTGGTGCACGTTATAATTTGCCGTATCTCTGTCCATTAGTTTCCTCCGATTTCGTGTACATGTTTGGTTATGTTAGGATATAATAAGAATAAAGATTTTAAAACTAAGACAATTGATTGTATTATAAATCTAAAATATCAATAAACAAAAATTTAAAACCAATATTCAAATTTAAAAATTATATGTTACTAATAAAATGAAATGATACAATTTTTAATTATAAAACTGAGTCCAATTCTCGAAAGCTCTTTCTTTTAATTTGTTCCTTACAATGCATGCATGCCCCTCGTATTCAAGTTAATGATTATAATATATACCACATATCCACGTGAAAATTAGTCGTTGTAAATGTATAACAATTTATATACTCCGTACTTGTGAGTTGTGAGATGATGAGATCAGATTAGATGAACAATAAGTAACATAACTATAATTTAATAATTAGTTATTGTGCTTGGCCGCTAGCTAGTTTGCCCATACGTACATTGACACACACACACACACATATATATATATATATATATATATATATATATTTATCAATTTATATATGCATGTTTTTAGTTGCTTGTTTAATTAACGTTTTGGTTCATTTACATGGCTCCCCATCCTGACTACGTTGCCATCAATATCTCGCACGTATCCCACTCTTTGCCCCCATTTTTTGTCCTCCGGTGGGTTTACCGGCACCGCTCCATTCTCCACCGCTCTCTGATCATCATTTCATTTCACCAAACCCAAACTCAATCAATCAATATATATGGAGAAAAGAAAACCGAAAACTTACGCCGCCGGCCGGCCGGCCTTAATTACCTTGAAGGCTGCATCAACATCTGCATAATCCAAGCAAAGCTCAATCGGCTGTCTTTTCCCCCGGGATTGCGGGGTTTCCACCTCACCGGTCAGCTCATCCGTCTCTCGTTGGTGAATCGGCGTGAACGCTATCGTCGTCGACCCACTCTCTAGCTCCGCCCATCTGCGCCGCCGACACACAATTAACATTATGCATGCATGGATGGTATATTCAAGAATTAATAATATGAAAAGAGGTCATGGGAGGCGGCGCGTGCATACGTACTTGCGGTTGTGTTCCAAGCGGCGGACGCCGTAGCCGAACGCCTTGGCGTAAAAATCCGCGGATTTGGCAACGTCGTTACAGTAAACCACCGTATATGCAAACGCCGGACCGCCCTCCAGGCTTGATGCCATACTTCTAATTAATAATAACTTCTATAAAGATCGAGATGCAAAGCTTTTGTTAGCACTCCGTCGTTTATATATGTGGAGGGGGATGCGCTTGCGGATGACACGTGGAGAGACGCCCAGAGTTCACGTGTACACCATGCAACAGTAGATCGAGAAATTGAACAAAAATTAAGTCATGTATTTTGACCAAAAATTTATATAACAAAGTTTTATAAAATGTTGATATAGTACATTGTCTTTAAGTAATTTAAGGCAAGTCTCCATCAAATTGGTAGAGGTAACATGTCATGTTAACATTTAATAAATTTTTTAATTAAAATCTTAATATCTTAATTTATTATTCTTACACTTATTAATTAATTTAATAATTAATTTTATTAATTATCTGTCAATTATAGTGTAGTGTGATAATATTCCAGTTCTAAATGAATGGTAATAAGTCTAAATTTGGATAGGAAAATTTAGATTCTTTAACACTACCGTGTAAAGAATCATGAGATTTTTTTTAGCGCGTATGAATAGCTCAACTGGTCATAGAGGTAAAACTTTTAAAGAATGACCAGGAATTGAGTCTCACCAGCGGCAGTAATGAGATTTTTTACCTAAATATAAAGAACGCAATACTTCAATTTTGTACCGTATGCGTCACCGACCCGACCGAAAAAGTTGATTTCTCTCGTTTTCATCTTCGCCCGGAATTATTGGTTCAGAAAGCCAAAGCCAAAGGCATCTGCAAAGAAGCTCGGCTTTTTGCGATCCTACAGTTGTACTCTTTTTCTCCATTAAAATTCGTCGACATTTAGCCCATAACTGTATCTCTTCCTCAAATAGTGATTCCGAATTCGTGATCCAGGTAAGATCTCCGTCCATTAGTTTCCTCCGATTTCGTGCACATGCGCTTACTTTCAAAATCATGTAATGAAATATTGAGGTAAAAAGGAAAAGGAAAGGAGATTAGCAGCGTTAAGAAACTAATTAAGCTTAGATTCTTGCCGTACTGTTGAAATTTTGAAACTTACTCGAACTTATCAACTAGTTTTAACTTTTAAGATCTCTGACGCAGCTTTAAATGTCTGATGCCAGTGTAGAAAATAATGCAATTGAATCCTAATTGCGTGTGGCGCAATTTTTGCTATCGAATTATTCTCTTTAGATTGTGTTTTCCGTAATTAGCACATTTTAGCTTCAGTTGGGAGAGCATATTGGGTTTAAAAGTCAGAGCTTTGAGGTGCAAAATTAGAATTCTTGTGATAAACGACACTATGCAGTGGCCATAGGATTTTATGGCGCCTTTTTACAAGAAGTTCGATATTTTAATGCGTTCATCACAACTAACTACTTCACAAGTCACAAATCATGGCTCAGAGAGGCATCTCTTATGCTCACCTCTTAGTGAGGTATTAGTTTGAGTTTAGCCGTTCAGGGCTTAACTTCAGTTGGTATCTTGGTTTGATTTTGGTATTGGAGCTAATCTTGCACTCCAAAAAGCCTAACTTAATTAGGCCAAAACTTGAGGCAAAATGCTATTTTTCAATGAGTTTCTCAAATGAAACTTTCCTGAAAAGTCTGATTTTTTCATAGGCTCCGGTCCTGCCAAACAACCACTAGATGATCTTAACATGTGCTTGAACATGACAATGGGAATAAACATTAAATTTGAACATGTGAATAATTGATAGTGCTTTCTGGAATTTGTGCTTCAGTTATTAATTAACTGATATATCTTGCATAGTTTTTTGTTTAATGATGCTAGTGTTACTGTAAGAATTTATAACCAATGTTTGCTTATGCAGATACTAATCTCGTTTATGCTTGATACAGGGCAGTTGTTATATGAGCCACAACTACCAAACTTGAGCAATAATTTCTCCCAGGATTTGGACCAACCATTACCTTTATATACAAATTCTGTGAGCATCATGCTCGCATTAGATTTAAACTTTCACTTTCTTTGAAGTAACTTCTGTGTTAAATATCCTGCAATTTTCTGCATGGGAGATTCAGTATCTAATCCTTCCTCAAGGAGAAATTCTGGCACAAATGGTGCCATGATTAGTAGCGATCCATCAAAAAGGCATGCCATTGCTTCTGGTTCAAAATCTTTTGCACATCAATCTTTAAAGCGAATATCTTTGCTGGACGGTGGAAAAGTGGGAAGAGGAGCTGGTGGTCAGATAGCATTGTTCTTATTGAAAGTTGCTGCCTTGGAGAGTGTCAGGAGGATCTCAAAGTCAAAATGTCCACATGTGTGGTCTGGTCTCCAAGCTTTGCAAGTTGTCTGTTATCCCCCATTTAAATGGATCGAGAGGTGGAATCCTTTTGGAATGTTGGTTAAAGGCATGCAGGTTGGTGCAAGCTCAAAGATTTGATATAGTCTTTTTCCCCATGTTCAGAATAGTGTATACTTTCTAAATGAATTCTTTAACAGAAATTTTAGTGTTGTTCCTTTCAATATCATGAAGTGCTACTGCTAGATTTCATTACACCATTGGTTACAATTATGGCTTGTTAATTCCTCATGTTTGATTATTTTTTTCAATTCGACATGCTCTAGCAAATGTTAGCTCTGTTGTTATCTTCCTCTGGACATCTGATGGTTATACCATTCATTTTTGGGGTAGATGTTATCCCGGCCACTGCTGGTGCTATCTATTGCCACAGCATTGTCTGATAATCCAGAGTGCAGCGATTCCACTACAGAAAGTAATGAAGTTAATCAGGGGCATATTGATCCTCATGATGTTTCAGAATTTGTGCCTGAGTTATCCTCTACACAGTCTACCACCACTTTGAGGTACCCAACTGATTTAGTACTGGTATGCCATTGCTGCAACCATTGATACTTTGTGATCGGCAAACATATTCAAGTTCTCTCTCCTTGTCCAGAAATCCCACTGTGGTTGAGTGGCATATCCTACTTGTATAGTTGTATCCTTGATTACTGTATAATGTTTACATTGAGATTGATGTACCACATCTAAAATATTTTATTCCTCCTCCTTTGGTAGATTAACATCTGAATTCAACTATACCTTTCTTGGTGCAGGGTTGAGGATGATCCTCAGCAAAGTGTGCTTCCTGCCAATTGGCTACCTCGGCTTTATAAAGAGCTGGAAAATCAGGGAATTACTTTGACAGATAGGTTATTTTAGATCAAACCAAATGTTTTTGGAAATTCTTAATTTAGTTGACACTTTCTTGGTATTGATTGTGTGAAAAGGCTCTCCCATTGAAATCCTTTCTGCACGGAACAATATTAATAACTTTTCCACACATTTTAATCATGGCATCTCTTACTGGCATATTGCAGAATTATTGGCTTCTCCTCTTGCAGTGGAACTTGACATAATAATGTTTTTGCAGAGTTAATGAAGAAGAACTCCATAGATTTTATACTGCTGCAGATGGGGATTTTTTAAGATTGCTTTCATCAGTAAAGAAAACAATCCATTGGAGAGAGACTTATAGAATTCTTTCTGGACAAGAGCTTGAGAAGTGGACAAGTATGGTATTTTGGCATGGGTTTGACACGAAGCAGCATCCTCTCCTTATAGTCCGCCTTGGTTTAGCTTGCAGTAGCTTGCCATTTTCTGACCGACCTCGCTTTGGTCAAGCTGTTGGTATGTAGTTCTGTCTTCAGTCTTCAATTTTGGCTTTCTAGTAATCCTTCACTAGCTCCGTTTCTCTTATCTTGGGAAATAAGAGTATACACTCTTTTCCCTATGATTTTTCTCAAATTTATTTTCACCCATCCATATTGATAAATGAGTAATAATTTTTACGTTTCGAGTTTTAAATTTTTGAAAAGGGTTTCTATAAGGGTGTACATATCAAATAAAAATTTGCTATGTTGGATAGTCCATCCTTTTCTAGTTTTAGCAGCAGATTTGATCTCGAGCCTCAATTTAGCCACTTGTGTGAACCAATGACTGCCAGATTATGTTAGCATTTATAGTGGAAAATAAATCATTCCTAAATGGGCTTCAGTAACCAGTACTGCGGTAGTTGTTAGGTCAATGTTGTTTCATTCCATATATTCATTGCATCAATCATGCTCATTTAATCAAAATCGTTGCATCTGAAGTATCTCAGGTATATCATGGGACCATGCATCTAGCTGACAGGGAAAATCCTCAAATAACTGTCCTGGTGGACTGTGAAGGTTTGTCTCCTTTGAGACTTCCTATGCAGATGATAAGAACCTGTTGTACTCTTCTGCAAAATCACTTTCCAAACGCCCTGGGCTGTTTATTTGTTATACGCCTTCCATCTATTGCTCGAGTTGTTGCACAAACTTTTGTCCAGGTATGCTTTAGATTTCATTTCTGGTTTCATTTAATGGTTTGCATACAGGTTTTGATGGAAAATGAAGTTCATACTATCTCATTTTGCCCAAACCTTTAGGTTTTTAAACCTGTCACTCGGCAAAAATTGAGATTCTTAGGAGATACATACAAGAACGTTCTTTCTGAGTGCGTGGAGACACTCCCATCGTATCTTGGCGGGTCCTGCACATGCTCGAGATGCTACATTCACAAGATGCGTGACGACTTATATATTCTCGAGGACATGCCCGAGACTGGAGCAGATTCAAAGCATGACGACGATCTCCCATCAGCTCTTTCAGGTGAACAAACATATGCACCATACGGTGCTAGAAGCCTTGACGTAATGTTACGAATGGCTATACTGGGCGTCCTTATACTCTGGGTGTTATTTGCTTTTATTGCTGGAATTTACGATCCAGAAAGCCGTCCAGTTTTACTTCCTTGAGGTAAGCTCATAGCCATCATTGCTTCATTGTATTTCAGTTTCTCTTAAAGATTTCCAGGTGTGTATAAGAGAGAAATGGTGGTTTTTAGAAGTAGAGTGGGGTGATTTGATTCACATTGTTTTGTATCAGCAGACAGTGAAGTGTCTCCTACTTCCACAAACAAATTGTTATCATTTTGTCCAAAATTAGAACCTAAACGACCTGTTTGGTTTGTGGAATAGAATTGAGAAGAAATTGGATTGTTTGGTTGATGACAAATAAATTTTAGAAAATAATTAGTATAAAAATTCAAGTATAGTAAAGATATTTGAGAATAATATAAAAATTTGTATTGTAATTTTCTTTCAAAAACTTTGAAAATGTAAAATACAAAAGGAAAATAAGAAATTTATTTTCTTCAAATTTAAAATTTTCATTTTCATTGAAATAAATTTTTATCAATCAAAGAATTATTTTTTCCCCTCAAATTTGAAGAAAAAAATTTTCTAGAAAAATATTTTTTTTTTGAACGAAAGATGCCATAATTATACGAGATTATTTCAAATCCGTATGCTAATTATACAAAATTGGAAGTTCAAAGTCTTGATTATAATTTTTTAAATTGAGGTACTTGATTTTTTTTTTTTTAAAGGAATAAGGGTCAAATAGGCTATTGAACTGCACACGATAATGTAATTAGATTTCAAATTAAATTATGTTTTTTTAAAATTAAATTTCAAAAAATAATTATTTAAAATTAATAATAATAAAAAAAGACCTCCGTCCGGAGACCCTTCTTCGTCTCCGGGTCTGTTGTGCTCGCCGGAGGAGATTCAGATCTGCTCGTCATCGGTAAATACTGGAGTTGCTGTTTATCTCGTCTTGATGTTCGCCGTCGACGGTGGAAGTGGCGTTGTTGGTCGCTACCGTCACTCAACCCCTTCGTTGCTGGTTCGTAACTCACCGGAGGAAGGGGAGCTGCTCTACCTAACTGCCGGAGATGCCACCAGTTAGCTCCCGTTTGTTGGTGCTCGTCGTTGCCGAAGGGGAGTTGCTCTGCCTAACCACCGGAGATGCCACTAGTTAGCTCCTAGTTGCTGTTGTACATTGGGTCTGTTTCCAGAGATGCCACCAAATAGCTCCCGTCTGTTGGTGCTCGCCGTCCACTGCCGAAGGGGAGTTGCTCTGCCTAACCGCCGGAGATGCCACCAGTTAGCTCCCAGTCGCTGCGGTACGTTGGGCCTGTTTCCCGAGATGTCAGTTAGCTCCCGTTTGTTGGTGCTCGCCGTCCACTGCGGAAGGGGAGTTGCTCTGCCTAACCGCCGGAGATGCCACCAGTTAGCTCCCGTCTGTTGGTGCTCGCCGTCCACTGTCGAAGGGGAGTTGCTCTGCCTAACCGCCGAAGATGCCACCAGTTAGCTCCCAGTCACTGCTATACGTTGGGCTCGTTTCCGGAGACTGAGATATGAAGATGTTACAATCCCTGCCACCATCGGCCTCTTATTCTTTTTAAAAATTAAATCTTCAGAGGCTTGGTGAGTTGGAGCTAACCCTTAACCTTGGGACATAATTGTTACTAGGGGTATCGAACCCACAACCTCAATGAAGGCTGCCCGATGTCGTTCATTTGTCAACTGGGTCCTTCAACAATATAAATAGGCACTCTTCCCTCCCTTTAAAAGGCATCCCTTGGCTCACCAAATCCTTTTGGTTTGTTGGTCCGAGTCTTATCCCTTATACTGGTAGACCAGGGTTCAAGTACTGTTGGTAACATATTTAGTTTTGTTTTATTTATTAGTCATTTACCTTGTTTTATTTATTTATTATTTGGCCGCCATTTTGAGTCATATTCCATTAGGGCTATATTGTTCATTATTTATGTATTCTTTGGGCCGTCGTTTTGGAACAGTATCTCGAGCTTTGTACGTACTATTCAGGGCCTAGCATCCCGGGTAATAAAATTACTATTTTCCTACTCTCATTCTGTACCTTTATATCCGGTTTATGGTGGACCCAATTCTAACAAAATCATTATTTTCGTAGTATTATTTCGCTACAAACAACACTAGAAAGGGCTCATGCAACTAGTTCGATCAATTGTATTAATTATATAAGTAGAGTTTTTTTTTTTTTTTTTCTTAAAGTATTTTTTACCAAAATTCTTTGAAAAGATTCAACCTAATTTTACATATAATAATATAAATATAAAAATACGGTGGTTGGGGTACCCTAGTGCACCCTCCCTATGTCATATTGCCATCGTTTACACGCACAAGCAACAGCAACAATCTTCAATTCGTGTTTGGGAAGAATTATTTAACACTAATAAATGTGCGATTTATGTTGATTTCGCCTTTAATTAAATTAGTTTGAGTAAGGGTGTGTTTGGTTCGCAATGAGAATCGGAATCGGAATCGGAATGTAAATTAAATACTTGGTAATATTAATGAATTTTGGTGAAAGTAGCTTGCATGTTTGGTAATATGGTGAAATTGAAATGATTATCAATATTGATGTTTAGTTATTTATAATCATACAAATGTTTTAAAAGTATAAAAACAAAAAAAATCAAGAAAATTGATCCTAATATAATACATCCAAAACATCAATATAAACAAAAAAAAAATTGAAAAAAAAATCTAAAAGTATTAATCCTGAGGACATAGGACTCTAAGGGACCCATTCAATAGGGGTCCATTTTTATTGTCAGGGGTGAAGAAGGAAGCAAGGAGCAAAATGTTATAGGATGTGCTACCAAGGGATATCAAATCCACAACCTCAAGCATAACAACACACCTTTCAAACCACCAAGCTACCACACATCTTGTGTATTACGACATGATAATCTATTTATTTGTGTGATGATCGTTGACATCCAGGTAGTGGGGGACACGTGTAATGCCTCTTTGGGCTGCAATAGATAGAGAAAGTATAGAACAGATACTTCTTTGTAATAGATCAAAGAGTCAATAGTACTAAAAAAAAAAAAATGAAAGCAAGACGATGCCGTACATTTGTCAACCATCTGGAGGGACTTTTACACTATAAACATGCACCATTTCCTCTCCTTAAAAATCATCTCTTGTCTCACTATAGTGAATGTTATGTATCTAAACCAATCAAACTCTATAATATAATTTTTGAAATTATTCATTTAGCGAACCAAACAATGAAATAAAACTCGTAATCTATCTTGACCTATTATATTAATTACTTATGAAATGAGATTTTTATTCTCCTAAATTCAGTTATCCAAACATGTTGTAAATGTATTGCAATTTTAAATTTATGCCATGTTCAGTTGTCAAAAAGTATTCCAAATATTTAGTAAAATAAAATAAATCAATTGTGCATTTTTGTGTATATATATGTCTCTCGGTCGAGATATTTTAATTTAAAATGTTTAAATATATACTCTTTCTATCATATTTTATCTTACATACTTACTATTCATTGGTCAAAACTTATTTCTATTAGTATTTTTTTAAAATTTATAAATTTGATTTTTGTGTGTGTGTGTGTTTAATAGTAATTTTAATGTAGTTTTTAAATATATAAATTTTACATACTAATTCTAAACTTAATATTATAAAAAATTAAATTGTAAATAACTTTAGTCAAATATCGTCGAATCGACACATAAAATTTGAGGGTTGGAATATTAATTATTTCAATCATTATACCGCCCACTTGCTTTGAGCTTTTGATGATTTAATTGAGCAGCCGTCATCAATTAATTGAAGAACTTTATTTAATAAATGATGTTATTTATTTATTTTAATTTGTACACAAATTTTACTTAACTTTATTCAAACATTTAAGTCGAACTAATGCCTACCAATAGAGCTTTAGAATGCTATTTTGCCACAAAAAAGATAAAAATAAAAATAAAAATAAAAATAAAAATAAAACAAAACAAAACAAAAACAAAAACAAAAACAAAAACAAAAACAAAACAAAACAAAAAAAAAAACAAAACAACAAAAAAAAAAAAAAAAACGATGATATTGTTTGTCACATGCTACTTTTATTTATTCTTCTTTTCTCAACTCAGTTGATATTATCAAAAGAGTAGTGAATATTCCTTTACAAAAATCTCACTAATTGACATATCATTATTATATTGATTTTTTATTTTATTTATTTTTGGTATTTGATTGTCTGTGACTCTTGATTAACTCATTGTTAGGTCGACCAATTCACGACTAAGTAATGAAAATAAAAAATTTCCTCTTTTACTTAATATTATGTGAGTAGTGTGCTTTCAAAATAAAATGTAAAGTAGTGATTAGTGAATATTTTGTAGGTAATGCAATCGAGAAAGTAACTTTTTTTTTTTTTTGTTTAACGAGGTAAACTTGTCAATAAAATTTGAGGTGTGTATTAGGTAAATCTCACTTATGTGTAATAGTCTGCAAACAACACAGATAAGGTACACCATATTAGGAAGACTTCATGCTACAAGCTCAACTAAAAAGGTGTTGGCAAGAATTGAATTTGATTGAATCAAGTTTTCTATTTTTAAAAAGAGGTATTGTAATAAAAAGATGGGAAAACAGCACTGTTGCCCCTAAATTATTTTACTTTTAGAAATTTGATAATTGTCAATTGAATTGAACAAATTTAGTCTTTTAATTGTCTATAATATAATACATTTAGGCTATGAAGTTATATAACTATAAATTATGTTAATAAGTACTTTTTTATGAGGTAATATTTGTCAGTTATTTTACATGTTAAAGCTTATTTCTCTCTCACATCTCTATGGCATAAATTCCCATTAACGCCAGTAATACATTTTCACTGCCGACAGTGTACCTTCAATTATAGCAGCTAAACGACAACGATCTAGAAGGTGAAATTCTAGAAACCTTAGTGACTTTGAAGTTTTTCAACAATAGACTATATGGGAAGAGTTGTCCTAAAACTTATGTATGAACTTGAAATTGATGGATTTTGATATTTCTGGTAACAATTTAGAAGGTTCACGACCACTGAATCTTTGTTGAAAAAAGACGTAAAATTTGATTCTTTTCAAAAGATATATATGTTTGTTTTGTGTAGTGTGATACATTTAGTCCCTACGGAATGAATAAAGTTACGTTTTGTTTGGTGTAGAGATATGTAAAATTAGAATATATGGTCTAGTTGAATACATGGCCCATTTGAATTTAAATATATACACAAGTAGATAATGCTAAATTGGTAATCTACTAAAGAAGTCAAATTGTTCAGCTGATAGAAACTTCCTATTATCTTGGATAGTCTAGTTGAATACA